AGATCGAGTTTCTGTGGGTGGCCTATAGATATGCAGAAATACTCCCACAAAGAGATCTGGAGAGCTAGTCTGGGGTTGCAGCTGGAAGCTCCAACACATGTCCTCGAGCTTGGGTTCTGTTCTCCGTCTTCTTCCTTCATTATCATTATAATCTCTAGTTTGGTTTAGGCCAGCGAGAACAGACAAGCAGTCTCCTTTATGTTTTCACTCTAAACAAAATCAATTGTATATGTGTTCCTCAGCCTTCACACTGAATTGTAATCTTAATGGTAGCTTCCTAATGTTACTTCACTTCACTTCTTTGTATCTGTGTCAAATTCTTACTGAATGTTTGAAAGTATATAAGATAATCAGTAAAGTCAGGCCTGGTTGCTGACCTGAGCAAGTCTCGACCTCCCTTCAAATCAATCATCCCGTCTGCAGTTCCTTTTCCTTGTGTCTCCGATCAGAGGCTCTGAGAACACTTACAGTTCACATCTTCCCCTCTGCCTTCCGGTGGACGCAGTGCATGCTCAGTGCCCATTCCTATGAAGGCATCCTCCCTCCTGATACTCTTGGTGAAGCATCTCTGTGAAGTTGTACAAAATTTGGCTTAAAATGCCCTAAAATAAATTAAGAATGTGGTTGGCTCAATGGTTCAATATGGAGCCATTGTCCTTGGGGACAGGCGAGGTGGCGCTGTGGTCAGAGATGTGCCTGGTAGTGCTGCAGGTAAACACATGCTCCTGAAGGGAACTGTGCTGGGTGGAGGACCAAGGTCTCTCCAGAATGCAGCACTAACTTTGGTTGTTTTATGGCTGGAGTGAGTTTAGAGAAGACTCTTTAGTGTTCATGTGATCATGTGTTATGACAGGTCAAAACCACTTTAAATAGTTCCAAATGGTGTAATACGTGGCTTGAAAAATAACAGGGAACATAGTTGTGAAGATGGAGTGCACAGCGTTCCACTTCTGTTGTTTTTGTTTCTAAAGCCAACATCATGTCTGTGCAACTCTGGAGGAAATGAGATGAAGTCCTCCGTATTGAAAGCACATTTGCAAACTGCTATCGGTTTGCAGAAAATACCACCAGCAGCTTCCTCTTCCGTGAAAGGGCTCTCAGCAGGGGCCCTCCTTATCTGCAACCCTTAACAATTTTGGACTTAAAACCAAGGGCTCAACAGGAAGACTATTTTTTAAACTGTTACATTCTGAGTGTTCTTTATATACTCTAGGTACTAGTCCTTTCTCAGATAAGCTTCCAAACGTTTTCTCCTAGTCTGTTTCTTCACTGGGCCTTCACAGAGGAAAAGTTTTTGATTTTGATGAGGTCCAATTTATTAATTTTTCCTTTAAAGGATCCTGCCTCTAGTGTCCAGTCTAACTGTTTGTCTCGCCCTAGATCCTGAAGCTCTTCTTCCTATGTTTTCATTCCAAGGTTTCACAGTTCTGTATTTAAGTCCATGACTCACTTGAGTTAATTCTTGTGTAATGTAAGGTGTGACATTTAGGCACAGACTCTTTTTCTTGCCGATGGGTAACAGACTACTTTTCCGAAGCTCACTTTTGAATGTGTTTACTCTGCTTTTATATTTTCTCTTCCACTGGCCCCACACTGAAGATGGGAATTCCTGGATTGATCTGTTTTCTTTGTCTTTATAAGCATCTCAGGATGCAGGGTCTCCAGAAAGATCTGTATCAGCAATTAAAACCTTTCCTATTTCTCATGTTAAATTGCTTTGCCAAATTTCTTGATGAAATGATCAAATACATGCAGGATTATTAATCACAAATATTTTATTTAAAAATGGCCTTGTGCACAACTGCAGATTTCTGCCAGGACTGTGCTGCTCTTTCTCACTCCACTAGCCCTATAATGAATTAGAAATTCAAGCAGAGACATCGATCTGTTGTGAAATTCAACTAAAACACCCAGTAGCTCTCAGGACTGCTTTTGAACTCTTTTTACTATTTATGTTAATTTGTAACTATCTTGTGGACTTGGGAAAATTTCAACTTTCTACCTATATGACACTTCGAAAACAGTCTATTTTCCATCTAAAGAGGTTAGCTGAAATATTCAGATAGTTCTGTTTGCTTTTTTGTATGACATCTTTCCCAAGTTATCTGGGATTATATGTATGGGACTGGCTACTGACTGTTACACGATCAATTATAAAAAGACCCAGAGAATAATCACACAGTTGGGCCTCTGTGAGAAGCTCAGGGGTAAGCCAGGGTCTACCCAAGTAACATGACTCTCCCTTCCTCGCTCCCCCACCTGCTCTCTAACCACGATGGGTACAGATGACTTCTACAGGTCAAAACATCAATTCTCACACAAGGATCCGAAGGAGCTGGTCTCAGGAATGGTTTGCGATGCTCTGGGATTAATTTCAGAATAAGACTTTTAAGAGTCCTTGGAAAAGATAGTCTGATCTCTAAGAACTGTAGCAACACAATTTGAATATGTTCGTTTTTAATAGAGGTTATCATTTCTTCTTTCAAAAACCACATGTCGTTTTGTAGATTTGTGCTTTGTATAAAAAATTTTATTTCGAAGTAATTTTGAAAGATTTTTCCCCTTCATTTGTAAGAACTTCAAAAATGCTGATGTTCTCAAACTTTGCTTTTTGTTCGAAACTGTTCATTACTAACTGACTTTTTAATAGCTAGTTAATAAAATACCTTCACCCAACAAAGACCAGATTGTGTAGCTGGCAATTTCAAATTTCTATGGAACAAGCTTCGCTAACAGTGGGTTTCTAATTTGCAAGTGTAAAACTCCCTCATGCATATTTAGAAGAAGAGGTGCTTAGAATAAAATTAAAATTCCTCTAATTCTCCTTATTCTTGGGCACTTATTCAAATTGTTTTGTGGAGTAAGAAGAGAATGTTAAAAAATTAACCGTATTGAGTAATTTTTGTTTCGTGAACAAGTTTGAACTTTTTATAGGAAAATAATAAAGCAGCAGGTGGTCTCATGGCTGGTTTCCATGGAAACACTCGTGGGTCCACACCACCCATAAGGAAGGAAGTGAGGGAAGCAGCCTGGGCAGAGGGAGAAGCTGAATTGTGATATAATCACATGGAAGCCACCCCTGGTCCTGCAAGGAGGACCCCGAGGATTGCCCAGGCGAGGTGAGGGGCAGGGTTTGGTACCAACACGTGACATCTTTACATTCAGGCTGCCCCAGGAGGGTTGTAACCTCACTTGAAGATGTTCCCTTAGAACAGAGCAGTTCTGGGGAGGGACTTAGGTGTGAGCTGTCCACACTGCAATTCTGGGTCGCTGGGTGATTGAGTCCCTTGGTTCTGGAGGGACCCTGTGGGGCCCATCCCAGCATCCCAATTGGGGTGCACTCTAAATGAGCAGCAAGGCTCTCTCTTCTGTTCATGCAGTGAACAACTATGGGAACCAGTGAAAGAAGCCATGAAGACAGAGAGAAACAGATGGAAGGTTTGCTGCTGCTCAGGGAGCAGGAGATGGGCGACATGGAAGGGATGAGCACCTCCAGCCGGCCAGCCATGACCATGCCAGGGGTTGTCCAGAGAAACTCCTGGCTTTCATCACCATCCCCCACGCCGTGCATTTGTCAGCTTTGGGTGTTGTCCTTTCATATTCATTATCACCTTTTCTCCCTTGCTCACGACTTTTGACTCAAGTGGCTTGCCTGCTTGGGTGCATTCTGTCCCACTTCTCTCACTGTGACATGGCACCAGAGTTCCTAGACACAGTCTGCTGGACCCCGTCGAACTGCTTCTGCTACAGAGGAATTCACGCGTCTGAGTGGTGTCAGAACCGTGCTCAGACACAAGGCGTGTGGCTGCTGCCATCCAAGCTAGAGCTGGGTCTCTGTCTGAACAGGGGCACAGCAGGACCCTGACCTCGAGGGATGCACTCTGGAGAGCTGATCCAGAATAGAGTCCCAGCGAGTCTGAATCTTTAAGGATCCACTCTTCAGAGCTGATTCAGACTAGACTTTGGTCTGCTGTGGTATCTGGCTGTAAGTCTGAACTTAGTCCCATTTTAGGATCATGCCATCTTCAGGCTTGAGCCCTGCTCCCCATAGAAAGAGTTTATGCTGAGAGTGAGTACACAGGGGCCAGACAGCACAGTTCTCCCGTGGGCTTGAAGATGAAGATCCTCCAATTACTGTTCCCAAGGAAAAGGCTTCTGGGGAGCCCACCCACCTCAGCTTCAACCCACCACACAAGGGAAAGCCTGGTCCAAATTGTGTGAACTCTGATTTCCTTTGGGAAAAAATACTTCTGTTAAAATATATCCAAATTGTCAACATTAACTGATAAGTTTGAATGGACACATGCTTAAATTACATCCAGGCATTTTTGACTTTCCACTGGTTACTTGGTTTGCCAAACATTTTTCCTTCTCTCTATCCTTGAGGAGAGACAAGTGGGATGACTTATTTCAAGGATGAAAATTCAAAGTATCTTCTATAAATATATATCACTATTTAGTACCCATAGTGAGAAAGAAAAAAGGTTTGTAATCTCTCCAAAATGCCACAGTCCCCAGCACTCCCTATTAATTCCCAGCTACCTTTTTTCACCTGATTTACAAGGTTGTCTTCAATATCCGTTAAACATGTCCTTTGCCTGCTAGTCTGGTGGGCCTGTGAGCGTGTCGCCCCTGTTCAAGATCTACCTACTGTTTATCACCCTGCCCTTTCCCCCAGATCTTGTTGATAGGTAGATTAAATAAAAATCACTTTATCTCTCTCAAAGAAAATGAAAGTAGCATATACATATATGTGAATAAAAACGTAACGTATCTGAGTTGCTGAAACCATGATTTATCTTAATAGATCATTTATAAGTCACAGAAAAGGTGGCAATAAATTATCCATCAACTAATCAACTAATCCACAAAACAATCCAAAAAACGGTTATGGCTCCCTAGGAGATAAGTAACTGTGACTATATCATTGATTCAAAGAAAAAAAAATCATTAACCAGAAAATAAAACCAAATTTCTAGAATTCTGAACAAATTCTGTACCTTGAGCTTTTCCTTTGTTGCTTTCACTTCCTTCTCCTTTTTGGCTTTCTTGGTCTTTTTTTCCTTTTTCTTTTTTTTCTTTTTGCCTTTTTCCTCCTCTTCCTGGCTTGCAAGGATATCATTAATAACCTGGTAAGAAACAAAATAGGAACAGCATTTAAATAGATCCCTAACAGAAGGAGGACTCTTTTTCCTGTCTGGAAAGAAGGATTTGTGCTGGTCCGTGTCAACTGCTGCCCTGCTCTGGCCCTTGGAGGCTGACCCTCTCTGGGGTTGGCAGGGCGCCCTCCGCACCACCCACCACTAGTCAGATTGCTCTGGGGGAGGCAGCCACTGGCTCTCAGGGGTGGATGGAGAGAGAGGCCAAGCATGTCTCGGCGGTTCCCTCCCTAATTCCGAGCTGCTCCAGCTCTTATCGGCGCCACAGACACTGGGAGGGGTCACAGCTCCCCGGACATCTCAGCACAGCTGGACGTGCCAGCTCTGCCGACAACTTGTCAAAATCCACACTGAGGACACTCCGCCTGGACGTGATGGCAGCAGCTGCTCTGTAACACCCTCCCCGCGCTGTGCAGGACCCGCATCCCTTCTCAGGGACGCCATTCTCAGAGGTGGTTTCTTTTATCCGTGACTTAATGTCTCTTTCCTACAGTCATGAAATACCATTCTTCTGAAACTTAAAATATTTGTTAAGAAGTACCTGGGTCACATAGGATTAGCACTGTTGGAAAATTAGGTATTTGTTAAAAAGCATAAAATTCAGTTCAATACAACAGGTGCCATCGGTCACTCATTGCCATGGAGAGCTGTGAATTGTGGGAGGTGGAGAAGCGACCCGGACCGGGCACTTGCTGTGTGGACGCAGGGCTCAGCACTGGTCCTGTGGCTGAGACGAGCGGCATCACCCACCGAGACTCGGTTTCCTCTGCCTCTGCCTCATGATATGGCTGAGAGGCAGGGACACAGACTTGGGTACTTGGTCAAGGACATGCTAGTAAGCAGCTGAACTAGGACTTAAACCAGGATGACTCTCGTAGTGGAGAAAGAAAAGTGTCAATTTATTCTATAGCATGAGAAGCATACAGGTGAACCAACAACTCACACACCACTGTCTCCGATACAAAAACATAAAAGAATGTAAGCACCCCAAATTCTGATGCTGTTGTTAGCTCTGAGGACAGGGCAAGGGTTTCAATGAAAAAATGGGGTGGGGAGACAAGGCCATTGTCATTACGCCCCGCGTGCTGGGCGAGCCCACCGTCCTGGGGAAGCCCTTCTTACTGCTGCTTTCTTAAGAGACTTCCCCAAATGCTGAAGTTTATTTTCCAGTATTATATTTTTGATATTTATGCCTATGTTTCTTCTTAAGAGCTTAGTTTATAAATGTAAAGAATATAGAAATAGCTTCATCATGAACAAAGCAGGGTATTCTAACACCATCTGGGCTTTAAAAAAGAAAACTGAAGTCCGGGGCCTAGGAGACAGCAATTATATACTCTGCAGAGACCCCTGTCCAGGTGCCAGTGGAGGTTTGGTGGTTGAGGCTCAGAGAGGTGTGTGGGGGAGGTGAGAGGTGTTATGCACATTATCCGGTAATAAAACGGGGGGGTTTAGACTGAAGTAATGGTCCCTTGTTGTCCAAATTGCCATGTCTTCCTTGGGGATAAGACTCCCTTCAACTCTTGGAATCAAGCTGTGGTTGCCCCAGTCTGCAGTGCTTTGGAACACTTGGGGAACACGGGCATTTTTTGGTCCTTAGCAGTTGGGAAATTTTAAAAAATGTAAAGTCTTTTAAAAAACAGCCCGATAAGTTTGTCTCACATTCTCTCCCTCATGAGAGGGACCCACTTCCAACTCTCTTTGAGTGCTCTAAACTTTCTCTTTGTTCTTCCTAAACAAAAATCTCTCTTTGTTACCTTAAACAAAAAGCCTGATTTTTAAAATGTGAGCGGCCAACGAAAAGATGAAATCCTTAGTGGTGGAGTCTACATTTCAACTGCTTTTAAAGCTTTACCAGTTATATGATTTATTTCCTCTATATTCTTAATTAGTTCATTAACTTCACTTTTGAATAGGTATTTATGTGCCGCACACATAAAAAATTATGAAATAATTACACATACGTATAGTAAGAAGTTTCTTCCCCATGATATTAACCAACCAACGAGATCCACTTCCTTTTTTTCCTTTTCTTTTTTATTAAGGTATAAATGGTAAAAAGTCATGCAATGTGTGCGGGATCTGATGCTCTGAGACACAGGTACGGTACGGAGTGAAATCAAGCTAACTCACACCTCCATCATCTCACACACCTGTCACTTTTTTTTTTTTTAATTTTGCAGTTTTTGGCCGGGACTGGGTTTGAACCCTCCACTTCTGGCATATGGGGCCAGCACCCTACTCCTTTGAGCCACAGGCACCACCCACCTGTCACTTTTTGTTATAAGAACATTTATAATTTATTCTCTTAGGAATTAAAAAATTAACAATACATTATTATGAATTATAGTCGCCTCTGTACAATTATAGTCACCTCAATTAGTTTCTGTCTAACTGAAACTGTGTACCCTGTAACCAACATCTCCCCAGCCCTCTAAGCTCCCTCCAGATCCTGCTAATCACCATGCTACTCTTTGCTTCTCTAAAAATTTTAAAATATCCTACACGTTAAGGGAGATGAAGTGTCTGTCTTTCTGTGCCTGGCTCATTTCACGGAGCATAATGTCCTCTGGGGTCATGAACCTTGTCACAAATGACAGAATTTCCTTCATTTTAAAGGCCAAATAGTATTCCATTGAGTGTACACACCACGTCACTGTTACTCATTTGTCCACCGACGGGCTCTGAAGTTGTTTCCGTATCTTGGCTACTGTGAACGTGGGAGGGCAGACCTGTCTTTGACATACTGATTTCAGTTCCTTTGGAAATAGACCCAGTAGTGAGTGATTGTTGGATCATATGGCGATTCTACGTTTAGTTTTCTGAAGAAACTTCACCGTGTTCTATAAGGCTGTGCTACCTTCCACGCCTACTAAAACTGTAAGAAGGCGTCCTCCTCCTCACACCCTTGCCAACCCTAGTTATCTCTCCTCTTTTTGATCATAGCCATTCTAACAGGAGTGAGGTGAAATTTCATTGTGGTTTTAATTTGCATTTTTTTGTGATGTTGAAGAAAAATGTTGAGGCTGGAGAAAAATCCATACACCTGCTGGGCGTTATTAGTAGGTCTTCTTCTGAGAAATGTCTACTTAGGTCCTTTCTCCATTTAAAAAATCATGTTATTTGTTTTTGTCCTGTTGAGTTGTTTGAATTCCTTTCACATTTTGGATATTAACCCCTTATTGGATGTTTGGTTTACAAACATTTTTTTTAAATCCCCAGGTTGCTTCTTCACTCTGCTACTTGTTTCCTTGGCTGTGTAAAAGCTGTTTAGTTTCGTGCAATCCTGTTTGTGTGTTTTTACATTTGTTGTCTGTGCTTCTGAAGTCATATCCGGAAAATCGCTGCCCAGACCAAGGTCATGGAACTTCCCTCTGTTTCTTCTAGTAGTTTTGCTAGAAATGTAGCACTAGAAACTTTCCAGTACAACTATGAGAAATGTACCAACCATACTATAGTCACAAAAAGCTGATGTTTAATCAGCTTGATTTCATTCTACAATGTATACATATATGGAAACATCATGCTACACAGTACATAGAATTTCAGTTTCAGGTCTCATGCTCAAGTCTTTAGTTCATTTTGAGTTAGTTTTTGTATATGGCTTTAGATAAGAATTCAGTTTCATTGGTTTGTGTATATCTAGTATTCCTATCACCATTTATTGAAGAAACTGTCCTTTCCTTATTGTGTGTTCTTAACACTTCTGTCAAAAATCAATTTACTGCAATGTGTGAGTTTATTTCTGAGCTCTGTATTCTATTCCAGTGGTCTCTGTGTCTGTATTTATGCCAGTACCATGCTGTTTTGATTACTTTAGTTTTGTAATATATTTTAAAATAAGGGTATGTGATGTCTCCATCTTTGAACCTTTTGCTCAATATTGATTTGATTATTCAAGATCTTTTATGGTTCCATATAAATTTTAGAATGTTTTTTATTGCTAGGGAAAATGTAACTGAAATTTTGATAGGGATTGCTTTGATTCTGTAGATTGCTTTGGGCAGTATGGCTATTTTAACAATATTGACTCTTCCAATCCATGAACATGGGATGTTTTTCCTTTTGTTTGTGCTATCAGTGATTCTTTCTTCTTTTTTTTTTTTTTTGGTTGTCTTACTTTCTTGCCCCCAGTAAAGTGCTGTAGCATCATAGCTCACAGCAACCTCAAACTCTTGGGCTCAAGTGATCCTCTTGCCTCAGCCTCCCAAGTAGCTGGGACTATAGGCACCTGCCACAATTCCTGGCTGTTTTTTAGACATGGGATCTTGCTTTTGTTCAGGCTGGTCTCAAACTCCTGAGCTCAGGTAATCCACCCACCTTGGCTTCCCAGAGTGCTAGGATTATAGGTGTGAGCCACTGCACCCTGCCCATCAGTGATTTATTTCATCAGTGTTCTGCAGTTCTCTTTATAGAGATCTTTTGCTTCCTTGGTCAAGTATATTCCTAGTATTTCATTTTATTTAATTATTTAATTATTTATTTTATGTATTTTGTAGCTATCATACATGGTATTGCATTCTTGATTTGATTGTCAGCTTGGCTGTTACTAGTGTATAGAAAAGCTACTGACTTGTGTACAGTAATTTTGTAACCTGAGACTTAATTTATTTATCAATTCTTCCAGGCTTTTGGAGGAATTAGATCTTTTTCTTATTTGGAGGCCCTTTCTTTCTTACTCTTGCCCAACTGGTCTAGGACATCCAGTACTAGTTGAATAGAAGTGGTGACCCTTCTTGTTGTCTTGTTCTAGTTCTTAGGGGGAAAGGGTTTTTCTTGTGGTCTTGCTCTGGTTCTGACGGGGATGCTTCCAACTTTACCTCATGCAGTAGGATGTTAGCTGTGGGTTTGTCACATGTGGCTTTTACAATCTTGAAGTATGTTCCTTCTATGCCTAGTTTATAAAGGTTTTTATTGTGAATGGGTACTGGATTTTACTGAATACTTTTTATGCATCTCTTGAGATGGTC